GTGAGGATTTGGCTGACGTTGAAAAGGCTCAAGATCAGGGCGCTGTAAGCGTTGGCCAAGAACCGGTTAAAAGCGAACAGTCATGGGAGGTCTTCCTAGATTCGAGCGACGATCCCAAGCAACGACGAACGGCACGCAAGTGGCTAATTGTCTTCATTTTGGCAACTTCGTCGACCTGCGTGACATGCGCCTCGTCTGTTGTAAGTGTCTCCCCCCCTAACCATCGCCGAACCTCTCCGGCCCACATGACGTGAAACATTTCGCAACTTTTTTTCTTACAATTTTTTTCAGGCGGCAATGGCACGCCCTGGCATTCAGAAAGAGTTTGGAGTTTCAACGCCAGTCGCGATTCTTGGGATTTCCTTATTTGTGGAAGGGTTAGGAGTTGGACCGTTGCTTCTCGGACCGCTCTCCGAGTTCTTTGGCCGTCGGCATATTTACTGGATTTCATTCGTATTTTTCGTGTTGCTGAATTTCCCCGTTGCGTTTGCTCCGAATATCGGTGAGTATTCACTCGGTTGTGTACAGCGGTCCGTACTGATTGGGTTGCAGCGGTCTATCTCATTTTCCGGTTCTTGACCGGATTCTCTGGAGGTATGCGTATTGTATGCATGTAAATTTGCTTGTATTGATGTTATTACAGCGGCTTTCCTTAGTGTTGCGGGTGGAACGGTCGCGGATTTGTTCGCAAATGACAAAGTGGCCAGGTACGTCACCAGGCAATTAATGGCTACTGTGTGTTATTAACCCTCTGGCTAGTCCTATGGCCCTCTACACGATCAGTCCTTTCATTGGGCCGGTTCTGGGACCCGCCTTCTCAGGATTTATCAACCAACACACTAGCTGGCGCTGGACCTTTTACACTATGATTATATGGGCGTCGGTACAGTTAATTGAATTATATTTCGTGAGTACATATGCCGCACTATCGCATGATGCATTGTACTGAACACGCATATAGCTTGTCCCAGAAACGTATGAGCCCGTGCTTCGCGTGCGGAAGGCGCAACAGTAAGTGGGGTAACGTTACCTACGGGTCGAGCCTAATCCATCCACAGGCTACGGAAAACGACAGGCGATGAGAGATGGTGGGCACCACTTGAGAAGAACGACAGGAGTGTAATTCAGAGTATTATAGCGAGCTGCTATAAACCGTTTGGTTGGTATATCTTGATAAGCGGGTGATCCGGGTTGCTTACATTGTCTCAAAATAACAGAAATTTTGGCGTTTGAACCCATGGCTTTGCTGCTGGATATATGGTATGCATATACCTTACGTTGACGAGTGTTTAGCTTATGGGCCTTTTGTTCTTCTAGGTGTGCTCTGCTTCTCGGAATCCTATATCTCTGCTTCACTGGTAAGTCCTGGAGGGCACATGCCTGTCAGACTCAAATTAACTAGGATTACCAAGCCTTCCCCACCATCTTTGGTGTGAACCACGGCTTCAGCACTCAATTAGTGGGACTATCATTTATCGGGATAGGGATTGGCATGCTTTTCGCGCTGGCGTCTCAACCCTTTTGGAATCGGTGGGCTAACTCTACCCGTTATCACACGAGAGACACGCTGACTTGATCCCTAGTTTGCAAGCCAAGTACAGTGAACGGCATCAAGGGGCTCCTCCCCCGGAGACACGCCTATTTATCGGTATGGCCGGTGGTGTGCTTGTGCCCATTGGTCTCTTTTGGATGGCATTCACGACTCCCCGGAGCGTTCATTGGGTAGTACCTATCGTTGGGTCTATTCCGTAGGCATTCACCCCTTCAATAATGATAGCCTACTTATTCTTCCCTATCAAGTTTTGGAACCGGGACCGTATACGTTTTTACTTCCGTTTTCACTTTCCTCGTGGTTGCATACAGGCCCTATGCGGCATCCGCTATGGCAGGGAATTCCTTCCTACGATCCGCATTTGCTGCAGTATTCCCTTTGATTTCTGGGCCAATGTACAATCGACTTGGCACGGTGGGCGCTACTGCCTTGTTGGCAGGATTAACCGTGCTGATGGCACCCCTTCCGTAAGCACTTTTGGTTTGGTTTTACTCTCATTACTGACAGCTTTCTAGATTCATCTTTTACAAACTTGGACCAAAATTGCGAAAGAACTCGAGATTCACCTAAAATACGGACTACATATGGATAATAGAAACGTTTGCTCTGATGGTTTCCACGCAATCTTGTACATAAACCTCATGTCGCGTCTTAATGACTAGTCGTCAGACCCTTCATCTCAATGCATTAGATGCTACCAATATACAGTACTCGGCACCCCATTATTCACTACTTGCGTCCCCACCATCCGCCTAACAGCGAGCCGAGCATTCCTTGAGATTGCTGCGGCGCCGGTGCGGGCGCTGGTTTCTCTGGTTCTGGCTCGGCCTTTCTCTCCGCCAGCATCCGTTTCTCGGCTGCAGGAGTTGTCTTGGCAGCCTGCACCTTTGGCGCGATGCCTGCCTTTTCCTGCAATTTCTCCATAGGCAGCTCGACGTAGTTCAACGCAATGTCAAAGAACACAGGCTTTTGGTGTTGGTTGCCGGTTGTCTTTCCACCGTTGTAGGCGAACCAGCGCTTTTTCAGATCCGTCTCGGCATTCTGCACGTCCTGTTCGAGCGTCTTGACCGAGTCCAGGGCAAGCGGGTAGAAAGCGGTTTCAAGCGCGTCCTCTGTTGTGTCGCTGAAGTTTGTATGCGCTTCTCGGAGATGAAGGTTTGCTCGCTGAGTGAGCGCAATGGCCTCGGCGTATTTATTATGCGGCTCGTAGGTTTTCGACAAAAAGAGTGCTCTAGGAATGGGATTAATAATGAGGGATAGAAAATGCATATACTTACCGTTTAGCTTTAGTATAAGACAATCGCCCTTCAATCGCCATGGTCAAGTCCGCGCTTTCATCAACAACACTCAACGAGCGCATCTGATTCAGACTCTGAAGGATTGTATCAAGTAACTTGACTACCGCTGGGGCGACTCGGTGGTCGGCGGTCTGCGAGGTTTCACCTTGCTTTCCTGGAGTGTGGGCAGGAGTGGTAAGCAAGGCATCTGTGAGGAGAAGATCCCGTTGAGTACGCCGAGACAAGAGTTGGTAGGTGACGAATGAGCTGATGAAATGCGCGTCGCGTGCGCCTGGTCCAGAGGGCGGATTCGAAGTTGCCTAGATTGTATTGATCAGTTAAGCGGACATACACGAGTGTACAACATACCTTTTGTGCGTCAGCTAGTTTCTTTGCTACGTCTTCCGCCTCGCTGAGTGCCAAAAGGACGCCATCGAACTTGGTGACTAGCCCTCGAGTTTGAGTCGGCTTGATGTTGGCTTGCCCGGTAGCGGGCAGGCCTTCGCTAGCTTGTTGCACGCGCAACAAGACGTCCACCAATTCGGGGCTTCGTACCGGAATTGGCTGGCCCTCCCAGATAATCTCTTGCAGTTGCTTGGCTTTGTCTCCTCCTTGTTTCTCTGCGCCCTCAGACTGAATTCCCTGTAGCAATTTTTCATAGTCTTTGACCAAAGCAGAGGCGACTTTAGCTCCCAGAGTCGCTACGATCCCGTCGATATCGTACGCCCGAGCTAATCCTAGTTCGTGAGCACAGTGACGGATCTCTGGTGCAACTTCATCCGAAAATTGGACGTAGATAGCATGATCACGAGATGATCCAGCGGCCTTGGACAAGGCATCTAATACAGTTCTTGCGGCAACAAGAGCCTCGAGTCCAGGTTGAAATTCATCTTGCAGGCGAAGTAAACGACCCCGGATGGCCAGGTGATATGCAACACTCTCCGCCAGGCCAGTTGAGGAAATGCGAGGCGGTTGAATCTCATAGAGCGCTTGAGACTCGGACAAAAGTTGACCGGACCATTTTACGGCGCGACGAAAGCGGCCCATGGCAATACTTCGTGTCTTGGTGTCGTCAGATTTGGTGAATTGTTCGTAGAGCTCTTGGGCAAACGAATAGGCGCGTTCAGATTCAAACAAATGAAGTTGGAGACTATGTTCGGATTCTGTAAGTAGCACAATAATTCCCTCAGGACTAACTTACTGGCCATCCTTGAGGTTCTCGGGAGGGACAGCGGGCAACTTTTTAAACTCTTTGCCTTTGCCATGGGTCATCTTTAAACTCCGTCGAAGTCGGTGAACCCTGTTTGCACAATGCTTCCTATAGCAAGGTATATAAGTGATCGGGCACCACTGTAAGAAATACTGACCGGTATCGTGCATGATCATTGTATCGCAAGCCATAAGCCCCTCGTTCATCGCTGACAACCTGCAACGCTTAAATAAATCGATGTCAAAACTTGTCCGGGGAGATGATAGTAAGCTTACTTCTGGTCGATACTTGGCTCATCTTGGAATACCAAGCTCACACTTGATTGTTGGTCCTGGGTGGAAGCCCACGCCTGATCTGGATGAGGTAAGGATCGAAATAGGCGCTGGATGATAAAGTCTTGATGTGGGGGAAAGAGGAGATCCAAGCAAGGGCATGTAGCGCAGTTGGTAGCGCGCTCGCTTAGCATCCTGATTATGTAAGCGCTTACGTAATTATAGTGCGAGAGGCCTCCGGTTCAAATCCGGACTTGTCCATCCTTTTTGGGACATAAATATGTTTAGATAACTTGTAGAAACCTTTTCTGATTTTTTGGGATTTTTTGAGAGGGCGAGAGGCGGACATTCAGTACCTTGTGCAGGAATTGGCAATTGATCACAAGCTATTTCATATTCCTCGATCTCTCCTGTGGCTATGATAGCATAGCTAGGTATGTGCTTTAGATGCCTGGAAATTATTGTTGAGCTTGGTATATGTGTCGTTGGCTAAAGACAGGAACACGAGGTAAATGGGCTTGCTGCACCACTAACCCTTGCTGAGTTTTGAATCTTCCGATATACGCTAGAAC